GACGACATTAAACGTTTCTACGAACATATATTATAACGCGTCATCGCAGAAAGAAATAATCTTATTCGTTGGCTAATCAAAGATCGTTTTTTTACCAGATTATTCAATGAAAGAGCAAACGTTCAGTCACATGTTGATAAAGTATAATCAATTCGATAAAAGTAATATCGGAAAGAAAAAAGAAAAAAGAAAAAAAAAAAAAAAAAAGAAAAAGAAAAGAAAGATATATATATATATATACACACACACCTAATCGGATCCACACCTTTTTTGCCATAAAAATTAGTATAAATTAACTTTCAAGGAGAATTCGAAAACCATCGTTGAAAGGTGCAGCGAAAGAAAGGAACGCTACTCGTTGCACTTTCTACGACGTATTCAGAATATATATACATATATACATATATATATATATGTATATGTATATATACAATATGTATGTGTAATACATATGTACATGTAGGTAAATATGTACATATATGTAGATGTTGAAAGTTATGTTGTTAGTATAATGAGATCTTAACGATCATGATGTTCGATCTATAGCTTCATTATCACTCAAATTACGTGGAATATATGAATGACATCGTTTTTGCAATTCGTGCACTTCTTCACGTATGATATTCTCCCATTACGTAATTATTATATATATATATATATATTTCAAAATACAATCATTCTCTCTCTCTCTCTCTCTCTTTCTCTATTTTATACACACTTATGCGTATATGATGCGTATATCGGAAATTCTACGAAGAAAAATTTTCTTCTGTTCTCGAGAAAATGATTCAAACAAATGGTACGATTCCACCGCAAAACATTGAACTTCGTATTTTATTGTCTCATGCGTGAATTATACGTGTGAACTTTATTAAAAAAAAAAAAAAAAAAAAAAAAAAAAAAAAAAAAAAAAAAAGCAAACAAAGTTTATTTGCGACAATGCGTTCGCGCATTAATATGCTATACGTGACCGCGACATTCGTGCATTTTTCAGATGCATCACAATGTCACGAACGTGAAACTATGGAGAAGGGAGAGTATATATATCAGGGTCTTCCCACATCGATTCGTTTAAAGGTTCAATCTTTTATTAATGATATTTGATTGTGTCCCTCTTCGGATCTATATTATAATACCATTTATTGTATTAAATTATGATCGAAGGTCATTGATTCATTATAGAACGATAATGCACTTATGTTTTCTTTATTTTTTTTTTTTCTTTCATGCTTTTCTTTTTTTATATAATGAAAGGATATCCGAAGTATATCCTTGGCATACTAAATCTGAGACGAACGAAGGATTTCTGATAATCTAAAAATTAAAATTGCAAGTAACGTAAACGTATAAATGACGATTACGTGATTAAAATTTCTTTTAAACATTTTTAAATCTTTCTTCATAAAACGTCTTCGAATGATTTCAATGAATAAAATTACATTTCATCTTGTTACATCTATTAAGAATTATACTTGTAGAATCTTTAAAACTGTCTGTAATCATCGTCTTATAAATCAAATCTTTCCTTGCACGTGTTAAGCACATGTATAAAAAAAAAAAAAAAAAAAAAAAAAAAAAAAAAAACCCCGAAAGCCTATAATACAACGATATCGTTTGTCTTTGAAAGATATCTTTAGACGTAGAAAAACTATTAGTAGTATTAATTACATATGTTAATAAGTAACCTTCTTATTGTTTTCTTAATCTTCAAGAATTTTCTTTCAAGGCTTTTCTACGTAAAACAGAAAAATTTCCATCATTATTATCCCATTATCATTATCATTATTATTATTATTGTTATTATTATTATTATTATTATGATATTTTTCTTATAAATCATTATTTGTCGTTTGTAAAAAATTCGAATGATTAAGAAAATGATAAAGATAAAAATTGAGAAAATTGATTTTAATTAATCGATTACTATATCATTATTATTATTAATATTGTTACAATATTACGTGTATAAAAATAAATCGTAACTCATATAAAATTACAATGGCCAAGATAGAGATAAAAAAAAAAATTTGATTTTAACTATTCGATTACTATCCAATTATATATTACTATCCAATTGTTATATTACATGTATTAACATTGTTCAATATTTATATAAAATTCAAATGTTCGAGACAGAGATAAAGATGTTAATGAGATAGAAAACATTTAAATTTCAATAATTCGATTATTATAGATACATATTAATATAAAAGTACACGTATATATTTATATTATAATTTTTTTATTATCTTTACGAATAGATAAAAATTATTGATAAAATCATCGATCATATCCTATTCATGATGATAAATTTTCATCATGAATAAGTGAGCATCGAACTACTTGCCTCGTTTGCACGCTTCACCGATCGTGAGAATACAATGACCCAGAGTGATTCATATTTTGTTCTATTTACATAACTCTTTTTCTAAAGTAAATCTTGGGCCTTATACAAGTTAAAAAAAAGAAAAAAAAAAAAAAATAAAAAAAATAAAAAAAATGTCGCTCTCGATCACGATCATTTTTTAATTTTCTTTCTTCTCTACTGAAATATATTAACTTTCTTTTTATCTTATATGTATAATATGGCGAAAGGCTATATCTCTGTGTAACTACGTCATTTCTAACAAATCATCGTTCTCTAAATAAAAAATATTCGTTTCACTTTCAGAATTCTCTGATGGATCTCAAGACTTCAGTTACGATGGAAATCATGGTACGTATCTACATATATATATATACACACACACACACACATATTCTCTTCATTTTTATTTTCTTTACTTTCTTTTCTTTTGAAGATATTATTGAATACTTGGGATAACCAGAAGACGTTGAATATATGGAATTCGTTTTGTTCTTTTCTTCTATCTTTCTTTCTTTTTTTTTTGTTTTTTATTCTTTTTCTTTTTTTTTTCTTTAGGTACGTCACATTGGGGCATCGATTATCATTCCTGCGTTGGGAAACATCAATCACCGATTAACATTGAGGAACACAATGTAAAGAATGTCTCCCTAACACCATTACGTTTTGCAAAATTAAATATACCACGTAGCTCCTTTATAACGAACAACGGACATACCGGTGAGATTTTATTTGTTTATTATTTTTTATTTTTTTTTCTTTCTTTTTTCATTTTTTCCTTAAATCTATTTGAAGTTATAGGTCATATGTAGATATTTCATTTATACAAAAAAAAAAAAAAAAAAAAAAATCAAGTAAATATAATACGAAATTAACACAAACTAAGGAAGTGAAGTTTAAGAATGAGAAAAGAAATAAAGAAGAAAAAGTTTAAGTAACAGATATCGAGGAAATACAATATTAATAATAATAATAATAATAATAATAATAATAATAATAATAATAATAATAATAATAATAATAATAATAATAATAATAATAATAACAATAATAATAATAATAATATAAAAAAAATTTTGTGATAAGATTAACGTTCTCTATTGGATAGATAATTAAAACATATAGATATAACAAGCGATTTATTATATTTATCAAAGAAATAATGGAAAAGTTTATCATGGATATGATATATTTTACGAAAAGAAAACATTAATCTAGATAATAATTTAATATTGTATTCTCTGTTATTGTTAGTTTTAATTTTGTTAAAGAGATCTCATTTCTTCTATGAGAAATGATAATTCTTCGAAAATGATCGTGTTACGTTTCACGTTGATTCAAATTGTATATTTGAAATTGTGCAAAATTTTTTTTTTTCCTAATCTCAATAAAAAATGAAAGAAGATCCACTTGCGTAATAAAATAATTTGATTTTATTGAATCAGTGATGATTAAGACAAACGAGTCAGAACCGGCTATCGTTTCTGGTGGACCTCTTGGTGACAACAATTACATTTTCGAACAACTTCATTTTCATTGGGGTGAGAATGATACTGAAGGTTCTGAAGATCACATCAATAATCATTCGTTCGCTATGGAACTCCATGCTGTATTTTATAAACAGGATTATAAGTCGATGACCGAGGCGATGAAACATCCGGATGGACTTGCCGTCTTTGCATATTTCTATGAGGTAAAAATGCTTTGCATTTTAATGAAGTTATATCCCATCATAATACCATACGCGTTTTAATATTTTACGCAGGTAGCCGATAAAGAGAATCCAACATACAAACCTATAGTTGAAGCATTACCGACGGTAGAAGCAGTTGACAGTAAGCATGAACTTAAGGAGCCATTATTATTGGAACATTTATTAATAACGAATATTTCAACAATGCAAAATTATTTTACGTACAATGGCTCTTTAACTACTCCACCTTGTTTAGAAATTGTTACATGGATAGATTTTAAAGATCCTCAGTTATTATCTCACAATCAGGTATATTGAATTATTTTCATAATTATTGATTTTTTCTTTTTTTGTTTGTTTGTTTGTTTTTCTCTGTTTGTCCTTCATCTTAAAGTATTATATACTCTTATAAAGATGAGATTTAAATTTCAGTTGGCTACTTTTCGTAACCTCTGTACGTCCGATGGTAACAAATTAACACATAATTTCCGACCGGTACAACCTTTATCAGATCGAATGGTTTATCATAATATATTTAATGCAAACAACGACATACCAATAAACAATGAAAATGGAAAAAATAAGCACAACGGTGGACATTATATACGTAGCGATATAACTATGTTGATACTATTTGTCGTTTCAACACTTTTCGCAACAATCTAAATATGAAAAAATGTGTATATCTAGTCATAGCGTATAATAATTGCACTCCCTCAGAGTTTACCGAGAAGATTATTTTATAGAATTAAAATTATATAAATTATTTTATTCGGATGATAATAGATCGTTATCGTTAAAATGCCACGTATGATTCCTGATACTTGTTTTAATAACTCTGACGATATATATATATATATATATATATATATATATATATATATATATATATATATATACATATATCTTTATTTTTTTTAATGATTTAAATATCTATTCAATCAATTGTGCACGTGATATGTATGCTTTCATATTTTCATCATTTTTATTCATATTTTGTGACAATTAAGTTTATAAAATAATAATAAAAAAAAAAAAAAAAAAATAGAAAATCCATACTGTTACATATCCTCATAATTTAAATATTACGATAATGCTGTAAATGTGTATTTATGTAATAAATTCTTATATAGTAAGTTCATCTTAGAACGTCTTATTATTTTGTATTTCTATATATATATATACATATTTAATCTATCCTATAATATAACATTAATAATAAAGCTAAGGATAATTAAAAAGTTATACTGTCTATTATTCACTTTTGTATAAAAAAAAAAAAAAAAGAAAAGAAAAAAAAAACTTTATTAGTATAACGAACACATTAATGGTTTATCATGTATTCATTCATGGAATAATTATTTAAAAAAAAAAAGAGAATAACAGTAATACATATTACTGCCAAGTTCTATTTTTTTCCTCTTTTTCTATTGTATTTACCATCATCATATTTACCATTGTCGCTAAATTATGTTGGTCTTGTTTAAGACGTTCTCTGATTAATTCAGCAATTGCCTTTTGAGTTCTCCTTTCTAATTTTTCCAATTTCTTAGAAACATCTCTTTTTAAGTCCCAATCTGGCTTACGTGGAGCCAAATTACTTATATCCTGTCAAAACAATGTAACGTAAAGGTTATGTAACGTTAAATCCAAATGAAGGTAATCATTTCAAAGTATATATTATTTTATTTTATATAATACCATAACGTTATTATATACGATTTATTCTTTTTCTTTTTTTTTTGTTAAAAAACAATCAACGATAAAGGAATAATAAGAAATGTATTGTAACGAAATACTTACAAGTTCTTCGATAACAACTTTAGTTTTTGCAGCGCTTAATTGATCTTGAACTTCTGTTTCAACATCGCCCGGTTTTGCATCTTCCAAAACCTTCTCCTTGAGACTTTCATCTTGTGGCTTATAACTACGAAATTTTGGCCTACGAGAGGAAAAAGGCAAGATCAAACGATCATAAGTTATAATTGAGGTTAAGTTCACGAACGAAAGTTTCGTAACGTAGTTCACGAGATTAAAATAAAAAACAATTTATTATCTTACATTGGTAATTTACTGGGAGAATCTGCCTTTGCATCTTTGCCTTCTTCATTCTTTTTTTTAAGTGCTTGCAAACGTTCCTTACGTTTTAAAGCTTCTTCCACTAATGAACCTACTTTATCCTCGCTCATGTTTATTCTTTCGATCTTATATGTTAGTTACAATGTTTATTCTTGATTTGGTCGAAAGATGGCGCTTACTATCGATCAGAATTCCAAAAAATCGCGGGAAAGCCATTCAAATTGATCGTTCATTCGTTCGATCGCAATTTAATTTTTATAATAATTATTACTGACTTTATATATATATATATATATCAAATCGAGATACAACACGATGTTAAATACAACGATTTATAGATATATAAATAATTTTGTGAAACGAATTAGTTTATTAACATTCTTACAATAACTCATACAAATTGGCGTCAGATAAATTATAAGCGATGATAATCGTCGATTATATCTATTTTATTATTATTATTATTATTATTATTATTATTATTATTATTATTATTATTATTATTATTATTATTATTATTATTATTATTATTATTAATATTATTATTATTATAATGTTTATTATAATTTTTATTATTATTACTACATTAATATCGTTACTATTATTATTTATAAGATATTAGTTAATGCGATTGTACGTGAGTTTTAAGAAGAATCAAACAATTTTTATACGTCGGCCACGAACAAAATAATTGATACTTAAACGTGAAATATTTCTTTCTTCATTGGAATGTTGATAAAAATAAAACCAAAAAAAAAAAAATCTCGAATTCTATTAGAAAAAAAAATTACGTCTCGAAAAGATATAATCTGAGGATGATTCTTCAATGAGAATTCGCCGATTAGCTCCCCGGAGAGAAATCACGAATCTATGCCATACGTTTGTGAAATTGAGGACATGCACATACATATACACACACACACACCAAGTACACACACACACACACATACACACACACACTACACGTACACGTTCTTGGTGTTGAAAATGCGCGTGCGCGCAAAAGTATCTCTTCTTTCGTACTCGTACTCTCTTCTTTGCCGGTATTGTGCGACGTATATCGTCGTCGGGGAAAGTTTATTTACAGTTTAAGAAGCGATTTTCAATATCGAACGCGACAAGATCCACGACTTCGTGGGACCTTTTAATCTTTAAAGAAGAAAAATAAGAAGAAGAAGATGAAGAAGAGCACGTGTTCTCTCTTAATATATATATCGATGTTTATTACTTCGCACTAAAATATATGAGATTTGTCTAGTTTAGTCGAGCTTAGAGAGAGAAAGAGAGAGAGAGAGAGAGAGAGAGAGAGAGAGAGAGAGAAAAAGAGAGAGAGAGAGTACACTTTGTTTATCGATTTAAGCGATACTTTGATATGTATACGATAAAATAAATGTTTCATTCGAATAATTTTCTTACTTTTATCTTTTCGTTCATTTTATATTTCTTTGTTCGTTCGTTCGTTCGTTTTCTTTTCCTTTTCTTTTTCTTTTTACTTCATTGAAAAAGAAAAAAAAAAAAAAAAAAAGAAATAGATAAGTAAAACAAAATAGAACAAGAATTAAACGTGTATAGTAAAGAACAACTTATGTATGTACAAAATTTGTATATGCAATATAGAATGAAATATAAATGTCTAACACATCGATATTCGATAATTCGCTATTACTTTTCTTTCGATGTTTACAGTCATAATTAATTAATATAATTATGTTCTTTATAGAAATAAGTTTCTTGAGTGAAAAGTAACGAACAACCTGAGCTGACGGAAGATCGTTTCTTGCGTTAGTTACATTGTAGTAAATCATTATTGTTATTGAAATATATATATATATATATATATATATATATATATATATATATATATACATATATATATACGGAGGAATGTTTAGTGAAGAGAAAAAGTAATAAATGAAGTTAATATATATTATAATAGAGAGTTCGACGTTTTCATACTTAATATCGTCTTGTAGTAATTTACATGACTCGTCTGAATCTTTCTTCATTATTATTTCATTTTTTCACGCATTTGCGGGTACTTTGGCGACGAATCCGGCATTAGCACGGTTACTTGTGGTAAAATGAAGATTCTTATTGGGTATGGCACCCACATTTAATGCTAAAACTTTAGAAACGATGTTTAAATCTTCTTGACCACCAGAGCCTTCAGCATTCCCTATTTCACCAGCGATACCTGATTGATAAAGAAGATGTTGGATTTGTTTCGCTGGTGTTTGCTGAGGTCTCATTTGTCTGTACTGAACGTAAGGATTATAAACGAAATTAATTGGACCTCTTTGTGGGATACCAAAAGTAAAAGTGTTTCTAGTTGCTGAAGGTTTCTCGTTAAACCCAAAATTACCGACAGAGTTGAAAGCTTCTTGCCTGTTAAATCTCGTCGATGCTGCCACGGGTGGTTGGAAATCTGTTATAGGTCCAAAACTCTGATGTAATCTTTGTTGTTGTTGTTGTTGTTGTTGCTGCTGCTGCTGCTGTTGTTGTTGTTGCTGTTGCTGTTGTTGTTGTTGTTGTTGACGATGTTGTTGAAACCTCAATTGATCTTGGAAATTGACTTGAAAGGGAGGTGGAACGACAACAGTAGGCACTTCTAACGAGACACTGGGCTGTAAACGAACGTTGGATTCTATTGGCGTTGGAATGTTTAAAAGATTAGTAGCCTGTTCAAAGAAACGATGCTTTTGTTGGAGCGATGGTACAGATTGTTGTTGAAACCGATAGATCCTTGGATCCTCGAACTGTTTCAATCGTTGTTCCTCTAATTGTTTCAATCTCTGTTCTTCCAATTGCTTTAATCTAGTTTGCTCTTCGATCTGCTTGATTCTCGCTTGTTCATGAAGATACAATTGTTGTTGTTGTTTTTGCCTAAGCTGTTGCTCGTAAAGTTGACGTTGTCTGATAAGAAATTGAGTTTGTTGAATCTGCTGTTGCTGCAATTCTTCCAATTGTTTTTCCAATAATTTTTGCTTAAATTCCAATTGTTCTTGCAGAGTCAATGCCTGGCCATCTCCGGTTGGTCTGAAGATAGGCACTACGCTTTTAGGTGCACCACTTTCGTCCTGTTGAACGGTAAATGCCGCTACTAACGGTGCTTGGAAGATTTTCACCTCTTCGGACTTCTCTATTATTTTATTATCATTCGTTAAAGTATCGTTTATCTTAGGAGACTCCGTGAGACTAGACACCGTTGGTTTTGGTAAAGGTAATGCATTTGCTATTGCGATACCATTACTGGCAACACCGGTAAGACCTTCTGTTAATGGAGTTACAGATTGCAAAGCGATACTATCTATTTTATTAACGTAAGAGACATGAGAGTCAACGTTTGATTTCTTCGCATTTAACTCCTCTATCTTAGGTCCTACGTTAATTTCTCGATTTTTATCAGACGTAATAATATTCTGAGCATGAAAACTTCTAGCATCGTTTCTCGTAGCTTTTTCAATGGTCATCGAGGGTGAACTAGACATGATCACGTATTTATCGGTCTGAACGAAACTTGAATTTTGAAGTTTGTCCTCGCTTGGTATTTCCTCGTCACCAGGAAATCCATCGAACGAAAAGCTAGATTTTTGAGAGATACCGATTTTTTTATTCAATTCTTTTTTCGAAGAAACATCCTGAAATTGATTAGCCGTGTATGCTTGAGCAATAGCCTCGTTCTTCCTTTCTTCCACTGATTCTGTTTCCAAATCCGTTAAAGCCTTCAAAAGAGCTCGGCGTAGATTTTTATCCAATTTCATAGCAGCTGCTGGTACGTCCAAGTTGCTGGATAAATCTGGGACATCCTCGGCTGCCGATCGATCGATCGACACTACTGCTATCGCAACGATCACTAATGCTATCTGCAACATCATTAATTAATATAATTAAATTTCATCGTAAATGAAATCAATTAGAATTGAGTTGATAATTTTAATATTATTGTTTATTATTGCTATTTTTTTCTTTTTGGCATATATATATATATATATTCCTTGATTACGTTACTACGATTAGTAACTAGCCTAAGATAATTTTCTCTTCCTAAAACCACAGCAAACACCTGTAACTTTCCTTTTAGACGCGTTAAGAACGCGTTCTACACGATTATGCAAGTTAGTCGTATACGTGTTTGTCGTATTCGGAAAAGAGAAAAAAATGTTACGCATACCTCCGTATCGTAATGCACGATTAAATGTTATAAGGTAATGGTATCTTCAGTTGTACAAGACAAAATAAAAGAACAAAAATAAAAACAAAACAAAAAAAAAAAAAGAAAAAAAGGAGAAAAAAACACAGATGAGAAAGAAAAGGAATCAACGTCGAAGATTTCTACGGCGCAATCTTGTAACGCTCGCAATAAAGAGAAACGCCTAAGAGAGAGATTATGCGAATTTTCGTAGTTAATTGTAGTTAAAATATAATGAAATATACGTAACCACAAAGATTTATCGTAGGAAAGTACTCGAATATATATATTTTTTTCTTTTTTTTTTTTGTAGAAAAAAGAAAAGGAAGAAAAAAAGATTTAACACAAAAATAATTTGAGATTGAAATGTAAAAGAAAAACATTAAAACAAAATATATAATAATACTTATTGATATGATACCTTTGACGCGACAATATTTTTCCGATCATTCGTTTCTCCTGATTTCTTGGGTTTTTTTTTTTTTTTTTTTTTTTTTAAAGGAGAAAAGAAAAGAAAAAGATTTAATGTAATAAATGATTCAAAAAAGAAATGTAAAAATAAATATCATAAATAAAAATAATAGTCGTCATTGTATTAATACTTTTACAATGTTTCGTTTCTCACCATTTGTGTTTCTTTTCGTTTCGAGTAAAAATTTATATATACTTTGCACGATAAATATCTATGGTTTTTCTTTTGAAATGAAATATTTTATCGTGTAGGTCTCATCGTCGCGTAGGTGAATTTCGCACGTTTCTATTAAAATAAACGGTTGAAACTCGACGAGAACTTTCATCCTGAGAAGTGAAATTATATCGTGAAATCAGTTAACGGAGACTCGGATGACTGAAGTAAGAAATTAATATATAATTCAATTTCTTCGTAGATAATACTTCGTGGTTTTTGGTTGGATATTTGCCGGCGTGAAAAAAATACTTCGAGATAGAAGAAGTAGAAGAAGAAGAAGAAGAGAAAGAAGAAAAATAATCGCACCCCCCCTTTCCTCCCCCACCCCTCTCGATATTAACACAAATCATTATATTTCAAGACTTCATTGATCATTTGCAACAAATTATACGACGATATTACAATCGGTTGCAATAGACATATTTATTCTCTTTATTTAACATAATTATTCCATCTAATCGCTCTATAATTATCTTTCCAATTTATATGCGATTATAATCTAGATAATTATCGACATAAACGAGTCCACGAGAATATTCTCGGTGCTATCTCATTATTTATCTCTTTATTAACGTCGCATTATCGGCTAATTTCGAATTATTATTATCCAGGATGGAAAATGTATTGACGTGAACGTTTAAATATATACGAATTCAAAAGAAAAAAAAGAAAAAGAAAAGAAAAAAGAGAAAAAGAAATTAATTTACTCTTTCGTTCGTAACAGTCAGCTTTTCGCACGCGATCAATTACCATAATTCGCTATCTCGTTAATTATGTATCTACGAGCATGAATAATATGTATGTAGGTATATTATTATTTTCAATATTTTTGTCCGTAGAAAATGATAGCTCCTTAAAAATGAATAGCTCCTTAACTACGTACAGTTAGTATAAAAAGTATTCGTATTATATGTACTCAAAATAATTTTTTTTTTTTTTTGATTAACTAGCAGAGCTAAACATTATATATTTGTTTAAATTTTTTAATAATCCCATACATTTATATTTTCTTTATGAAAATTATATAAATAATTTGTTTTATGTGAAATAAAAAAAAAAAAAATTATTTATACTCGTTAATATTTTATTTTATATTAAATAAAAAAAAATATATATATATATATACATATGTATACACACAATATATTTTCTTTTTTGATATACGTTTAATAGCTAACGTCAGATGTATTGTATATAAAAGTTATAATGATCGGTCTGTCACTTTTAAAGAATGAAAATTTAATGAGAAAATAAAAATTTTTAACATAACAAACAGTTAAATGTTTGAATATTTTTTGTATTCACTGTACATGTCATAAAAGGAAAAAGAAGTTGACAGGATCGTTATTGTTATTCCAACTAATGGCACCAGCCATATTATTCTCAACCTCGGTAAGAGAAAATATCCGATGACATTTGCAAAGAAAGCCATAACTGCGAATATGCGCCGCACCCGTGTCCCTCGCAAACAAAAGCAAATATTATACATGCGTGCCGATGAAGTTTATATAGTTCCTATATACATATATTCATATATATATATATAAAAGATAAGAATTAACAAATTTCTTTTTCATTTCTTAATGGACATAAAGATATTTATGTTACCGTAAATAGGATAAATTATTTTGAGATTTATTAGTGTTGAAATAAAGAAAAAATGTATTTTCTTGTGAAAGAAATTAAAAAACGCGTTGAGAAAGTATTGACGCTATTGACTTTTTGTTTTGATTATCTTCTTTTATAATCGTTTTTTTCTTTCTTTCTTTTCGTTTTTTTTTTTTTTCGTTTGTTTAATTTATCATTTGCAATTATTATCAGAATATTTTGTATTACTTTTCTAAATTATAATTTTTGTTACAAAATTATTACGAATCATTTATTTTCTTTCTTTTTTTCTTTTTTTTTTTTTTTTTTTTTTTTGATATAAAATTATTATACACCGAGTATCTGATAAGATAATCCTTTTACTTTTCAAATACGTTCTTCGTTATTATTAACGAAATATTGTGTAATCTTTTTTTTTAGATTCGCAATTCTCATATAAAATAATATCCGCGATTAGATATTTATTATTTTATATGAAATTATTGTTGTAGATCGTTTTAATAAGATCTTTCTTTTATTTCCTTTTCTCTTTCATTTTTTCTTCCTTATTTCAAATTATACTTTTTCATTATCATATATATACACATATTATAAAGAAACGTTATCTTTACAGTTATAGTACAGTATATATAGTAGTATAGTATATATACACTTATTACAATAATATGTATATACATACAGATATATATGATAAATTATGATTAATAGAAATATTATGATATTCTGACAATGTATATACGTGTCTTTGTTGAATGAACTTGAAAAAAGAAAAGAAACTTATGACCTTGACATATAATACATTTTTTCTTTTTTTTTTTTTTTTCTTTTTTTTTTTTTTTTTTTTTTTTTTTTTTTTAAATCGAAAATCAAACACTTCTCGTGTGTACAAATACATATTTGAAAACTTTCTAAACGAGCGAATAATTTTACAAGTATCTTGACTGGTCCAGCGTCCATTAATTTTGATGAGCATATACGAGAGTAGTAGAGAGAAAGAGAGAGAGAAAGAGAGAGAGAGAGAGAGAGAGAGAAAGACAGACAGAGAGAGAGAGAGAGAGATGTTCGCGCAGGTGTGACGCTTTTCTCTCTCTCTTTTTCTCTTTTTTTTTCTCTCTCTCTCTCTCTCTCTCTCTTTATTTCTTTTTGACGGCATGTCCACCACTGTCTGCACTTTCGGCAATGAGTTTCACTTTCGAGAATCTTAGCGAAGAAAACCAGCCTGACACGTGTTCCAGGTTACAAATTATCATCATGCAAATTGTCTCCTTCCTGCATTTTGACTGATACGATTCAAAATGTCCACTTTGCAAAACGATTAATTAATTAACTAGTATTCTATCTCACATATTTCTTTTTCTTACTCCCCACTAAAACAACTTATTTCGAATATATATGTATATATAAATTTTTGGTTACGTCGTCATGATTTCTCTTCGTTATTAAGAATATATATTCGTTCGGAATATGTTCTGAAAAATAGGGGGGGAAAAAAAAAAGAAGAAATTCATGATATTATCTCTCTCTCTCTCTCTCTCTCTCTCACTCTCTTTCGCCTCGTAAGTACACCTATCATCATTTTCCTAAATGATTATAAAATTTCGAAAATTTCACTGTACGTTCGGTAATAAAAATTTAACGATCACATATTTATCTTCTTTAATTTTTATCGAAATGGAAACTTAAAAGGAATCCTTTTACGTAAGATGATTATTTAAATCGGACGATTTCGTTTAGATGGAGAACATCAATTTGGAATACACTCACGCGATATCTATTTCGTGAACGATCGAGAAGAAGAATAGGGTATGAACGTTCGACAAAGACATAATGCACTTCCGTAAGTCGATGAACTCAATTTTGCCGGATTTGCTCGAACGGATCGTAAAGAGTTCTTCTTCTTTTAGGAGAATAGAAGGATTGCGTCACGCGGCTACGTACGTATCCCTTGTTGCAAGAACACAAACATCGAAACCGTGAAGTTCGTTAACGAACCTTTCAATGTAATTAAACTGTTATAGTCGGGTCAATGACCTCGAGAATGATGAATCCTGTATTCTCACTCTAGGGGCCCCTCTACTGTTTCTTCGATCATCGAATACTAACGGTACATTTATTTCTTTTTTTCTTTTTTCTTTTCTTTTTCTTTTTCTTTTTCTTTTTTTCCTTTAATTTTTTTATCCTCTTGTTTATTTCATTAGATTATGATCAAATATCGATTTATTTGCTTTCTAACGACACCTGCTTTCTAATATCTAACTCTTTTCTTTTTCTCTTTCTTTCATTCTTTCTTTCTTTCTTTCTTTCTTTCTTTTTTACACGATTTCTTTTTTTCTTTTCTTATTTATCTTGATCATCCGAAATATTTCTAATTATTATTC